ATTATGGGGATTGCCTTGTAAAATTAGAAAAACGTTCGAAAATATATATATCGTCCTGAGATTTATAAGCGACCTGAACCACTGAGTTTTGATAGCAGAGTGAATACTACCATGTGAAAGTACTGCTGAAGAGCTTTCATTTGAAAAAGACCTTAGCCTTGAGGATGTGACGGAAAAAGTAAAAATATTAAATAATTATCCTTACTAGTAACAATACATATATAAACAATACATACCAAAATTTTGATTGAAAATCACGCAAAGGAGACGACTAGCAAGCTCTTAGCCCCCGTCTTGTAACTGAACAAAGCTGGACTAACTGAACGTGCTTTGATTCTGGGCGGTTTTGTTAATAATTAGAATTGTTAATTAGTTTAATGTGCACTCAAGCTGAATGTGGACAGCCAGGCATTTTTGTGTCGTTTTTGTTTTAGTACTAGCCAAACTTAACTGTCGCTTTCGTTTCCTATAAGCCAAGCAGGGCAAGAGAGAAAGACGTGTGAGCGCTATGTCAAAAGGTGCAAAAAAGAAGGAGCCAGGGACAGAGAGGCGTGAAAGGGAAAGGAAACAACTATAATATATCAAAATATAAATTCTCAGTATAGCCGAGACTCGGTCGGTTTGTTTTACGGATTTCCGTCATGTCTAGTGTTCTTTGGGCCTTCTTTAACTCCAAAAATGGTTCAAGAAGTGTATTAAAAAGCAGCATAAAGTTTCTGCACTAAACCGTCATTAAAAAGACTATAATCCTTTTAAAGTCCTTTACTAACAGTTAAAAAAAACAAAGGAATAGAAACCTGCCGAAATAGCCTCAGAAATACCCAAGGACACGAAAGAATGCACAAGTAAGATTTTTTTACTATTTTCTCCACTTAAAAAGCAAAGGGATTTTTATGACATTTTCATGTCATATTGGTTTTTAACAAGCACTCACATAGTGAGTTTGGCCATGGGATGCCTGTCATATAGAGAATGCTAACATGTGAACCGGTACTAAAATAACCTGCGTAGCAGTCGTTTTTTGAATAGCCAAGAGGGAGGAGTGTATCCGGGGGTGGGGACTCCGCATATAAAAGGAGTGGGGATGCTTGTCGTCTCGCTTAGGGGTGTAAATTTCGGATTTTGGTCTCACTTAGGGTGTTCTGAGCAAAACGCCATCATATTTAGCCGTGAAGGTCTCGTAAAGGGTTATTTACTCCATTCATATAATCCAAGTTTTCTATGACATCAGTACTTAAAGAAGAAGTCTTTATCCATTGTTTTCATTTGTTTGTGTTTTAACATGGTCTCTTTTACGAGTCAAAAAAGGCTTGGGCCACGCCCAGATCAGTCTCCTTTAGGGGTTTAATTCAAAATTTCCGACGAGCATCCCTACCCCTTTCATATGCAGAGTCACCCTCCGGAAAGTGTACCCTTCCGGTCCAACGCCCTCCCACTTGCCCTGGTTTGCTCAAGCGAACGGAAACGACTATAAGCCGGCATACCCGGTGGCAAAGATCTCTCTGAGTTTTTGTGCTGCCTTTTTATTGTAAATCTTGAAGTTTTCTGGTGTTAAAGAAGCCCAAAAAACACTGGAAATGATAGAAAACTGTAAAACAAACCGACCGAGTCTTTGTTGCAACAAGAATATATTTTCCGCTTGCTACCCCAAAGGTCAATCGCTCTAGACGCATGGGGTCTTTTCTGATTGTTTATGTTAATTTTGTAACAACAACAGAACTAAAAACAAAGGAACATAGTTGACTGAGACATTTGTTATCGGAGGTACAGAAAAAGGATAATCAGTTTAGCAAACCAATCGAGCTTCACTGTCCCAAAGGCCGGATCCACAAAATTTTTGGTGGGCCTGTTTTTTTAGCCTCTACTATTTGTATGGAAAACCCGGTAATTTCGTTGAGAATTTTAAGGGAACGGGTCTTTTTCGGGAAAAAGAAGTAATAACTTCTTAGGTACCGAAACGAGACGACCAAAATTCTCTGTACCATCTGCGCATGAGCCTATATATTTTTTTGTTGTAAAAATTGGAATTTGTAAAAGGTAATTTTTCCGAAACTGTTCTGCATTTTGGCCTCACTGCTAATTTCCACAGATAACTAAGGTACCCGTCCACATGTATCCAGATACCCTGAAACCGCATACTTGATATTTACGTCGACACAAATTCGGTGTCGTGTGGTGGTTTGGATTCACCCGTCTGACACGAAAACACTACCGTGATGTACTAGCTAGTACGCATACGCAAACCGTGCCCGCGATGTGATTTCGCGGCATTTTGAATGTTGCTATGGCCATATCGAGCACAATAGCCAGGCCTGCCTATTCGTTGTCCCACCAGGTACCTGTTCGCGCTGGGCAAACCCATAATCGTTTTTGACGAGGTTCAGAACGAACTGAAGACGTTTTAGGCGCCTTTGTCTCAAACAAAAAGATTCTACAATCTGATTAAACTTGATTAGATTAAATCTTGTTTTGAAATGGCTAATAATTGTTGTCGTCAAAATAGAAAAATTGATGTCAACACATGCAACAAGACTGGCGATAAGAGCCGACGAGGTTGCAAACAAGGCATTGTTGTCCGCCATTTTGAACTCGAAAGACTGCACATGAGTTTATGACGTAGTTGACTTCAAAAATATCCGGCAAACGTCCATACGAATTCAGCAAACCCAAACAAAAAAAATCCACTAGAGAGCGGTTTCAAAAATATGCGGTTTTGGTGTGCGGATTCACTGGAAGGGCGTGTAGATGGAAGGTCGAGTCGTATGAAAAAGTATGCAATTTCAAAAGAATACGGATTCGTGTGGACGGAGGCCTAATATGATAATGCCGTACCAATATTCAGAGATGTTATGTCACTGAATTGATCAGAGAATGAAAAGGATTATAAGTGAGGCAAAAAGTGTATAAAGACGACAAAAGATTCGCCTATGTAATAAGGTACATTATTGCTGATAAAAAAAATGTGTCCCACTCTCAAATGGTATGAGGAAGAAGGTATTAGCGTACAAGGGCATCGTGGTTTTTGACCAAAATGGACAAAAACTTGAAAACGCTGGATCGATTTTTTAAGTTTTAGTGCAGTTCCTTCTTATTAATCCTCACTTGACCATGAACAATTAAGGGATTTTGTGCTAGAATGTTAAGTTGTAACCAAAACAATAGAGACCTTTAGATTTCGAGACGAGACAAGATTTTCTCAATCTCGTACCTTGAGTCTTCGTCCCTTACTGTGCATGCTGGTTTGACGAGACGAGCGCTGGTCAAGGGAAACGAAGACGCTGGGTACGGTTTGCGCGCGCATGAACCTGCATTATTTTGGCGGGAAAACGTCATAGCCGTCGTCATATCCCATGGGTTTTAGCGCGAATGACGTAGTGCAGGAAAGTTAATAGTTTTTTTCATTTTGAGATCGGGGGAGGGCTTAATCTCTATCAATAATAATAACCGTGTATGACAAAACGTCGAGTCCTCTTTAAGACCTTTAGCGCAAAAACACAACTCATAAGCAAACTAGAGAAAACACGAAACAACATCATAATACTTAAGCATTTATTAAAATAACACACTAATACCACTAAATCATGTTTTAAATTAAGTAAGTGATATTATAAATGCTAGTTCCACTGGCATTTCAACTACCCCACTATTCTTCAAAATCCTTATGGCTAATGCAATTAATATTATCTTAAATGTTAAAGGCTAAATACAAAGTGATTTCCAAATACTTAAGCTACATATTTTCAAGTCCTCTTCTACAAACTACAACTTAATTGTCCTTTTTTTCAGTTCACCTCGGGTAATACAAAGAGATTCTCGTCCTTGTCCTTAGTGACCACAAAGTTCCAGCAACTTCAAAACAACGCCCATTTTTACTCTTTCCAAACTCTAAAACCCCACTTAATTAACCCTGCCTCAGCCTACTTCTTTTCTCCATCTTACTTGAAGCTGTCCTTGGAGCAGGTTTACTGTTACCAACAGGTACTTTTATTTCTATTGGCTTTCCTATCTCTCCTAAGCGCGCAGAGAGGCCTTTGTGTCGTAGGGTGGCTGGGGAGAGGGAAAAAGCGCGCAAGGGACGATGGGAAGGGGAAAGAGAGGAAGCGCCTTTCCGCTCTTCTCATCAACCCCCGCGCGCTTGCTAGTTTTCGATTATTGCTATAATTTTGGGATACCGAGCTGGAGCCTTTGCGAAGGAGAGAGGGCGTTCCGCACTTCTGTTCTGTCATCTTAGTTTTTCTTCAGTGCACAGCTGGCTTCCCCCGACAAGGGGCTTTTTGCCGTGAATTTCAGGGTCGCCTCTGCTGAAGGCCTCTTTGTAGTGACTGTACTATTGGGAGTTTCTCTCTCTCACACACCGTACAAGCTACTTTTTAAAACCTACCAAAGTCCTTCCCACATCTACGACCTCAATATATACGAACTACAAGAATAAAAGTTACGTAATCGCCTCGTACGGAATAAATGCTGCTTAAACAAAAGAATATTCGTAGAAAAGAAATAGCTGTGGATTACAGATATAATTGTAAGCATTTCATGACAGGACTAACGTTCCTCGTGAACAAAAGTGCAATGAAGCTTCCTTGGGTGTCTATGTTTTGAGAATACGCCAAAAAAACTTCGTACTAGTAGTCGTCCTCGAATCTAATAAATAATATGAGTCGGTTATTTAAACGAAGTCTAACTTAGGCCGCGGTTTGAGAAATCATTGGACCTCCAGATCCCTTTCTTAGTGGATTAATTTAAGAAAAAAAAGTGCTTTTCCAGTGTACGCTATATGCTTAATAGAAATTGTTCGCGATAAATGGTGTTAAGATAACAGCTTGGCTTAGGACGGGTATTGTTAAAAATGGGCTAAACTCCGTCTAATAACCGGCCCTTAAAACGCCTCCTACAGGCTTTTGTTGCAAATAAAGCCGGCGGGTATTTTATTTGAATACAAGTGTGATTTATCACTTCTGGTTCAGAACGAATCGAAGGCGTCAAACAACACTAGAAGCGGTTTAGAACTTAAAAGTATCCAATGAATCGAGACGACCCGCTTGTCCGTAAATTATAAGCGTGGACAGCGTAAACAGAACCAAAAACACCGAGAAGAAAAGGCGATCTAATGCGCGACCAATCTGTTTCCACATTTCTTGATTTTCCTCGTCTTCGTCGACTTCATTGGCCGAGCTGATTGGACCTGCATCTGAACTCCGTTCGTCTTGTTTTTCATCATTGTTCTCCTTTAGTGTGACTGCTAACTCCAGGTCAATATCTGATTCCATTTCAGGGTCGACTACAGTCTTTGCAGACGCAGGTGATGAGGTTGGTGGAGTATCCTTGGATCTTTTCTTTGATATAAACCTTCGGCAACTTTTGGGAGAGCAGACAATTCCGTTCAATACTAAAGAAAAAAATACAGTTAGATGCCTTATTTCAGGTTATAAGTATGCATCTGACTTTTAACGATTGGAGAGATTTAGAGTCACGTTTACGGCAAACGGCAAGCATTTCTTTTCTTTTTTCGCACTTTACATCACTTTTTGGTAAAGTTTGGTACCAGAACAGTCAACCAAATAGGACCTATAGTGATTTTAATGCGTCAAGGATATTGACATTCGACCGGCTGCCTTTAACACAGTTTGATGTCGCCACATGGTTATTTGTTCAAAACCTTTAGCTATAAATGTGTGGGCAAACCAAAATCTGCACTTTACACACAGAGTTACCCGTCCCTTTCTTTTGGGACTAACCCCCCTTCCCCAGTGACAATACCAAAAGTTATCATCAATCCACCCTCAATAAATATAGGTTTAATTGATATTAAAGCAAAGACTATAATTATTTTCAAAATATGGGTCATTTCAAATATTTCCTTTCAAAGAGGATATTTACCTGTTAAGTATGTCAACAATTTGGGTGGCTTGGATGTAGCGTGGTGAGCCATCAGTACGAGGACGGTAGCGGCCAGCGCCAACCCGATTTCAAACATGATCACAATATAGTATACGCCAATCAGCGGTAGAGTGTCTGACTGCTCAGGCAGCTGATCAGTTATAACCACGAGGTACACACTAACGGCCAAGAGAATGGTGGCACACAGACCGATACGCTCACCACTTTCTGCTGGAATGAAGAAGCTGACGAGAATCAGCATGCCGATGATCATACAGGGCACAAGAGTGAACAGCACGAAAAACATAGGTTTGCGTCCGATGAAAAACGACACAATGACTTCTGGGAATTGTCTCTTTGGCTCCTTCTTCTCATCGTGGTTGTTCATTTTTATGACAAGGCTCCTCAGGGTCCAGTAACCATTTGACGACGTGAGTTTTAGATCTAAACAAGAAAAGAGGACATGATTGACCTGATTGACCACCTTTGTTTGATTATTAAATCATAAAAAAATATCGTATAATAATCAGTGATCTTACAGGATCAGGACGTCATATAACCATTTAACTACTCTATGCAAACGTACTAATTGCAGTAAAGTTAGACATAGTCCTAAGATTTTAGAGAGAAAACGCAGATTCCAGCCTGTATTTCTTTGGTCTTACTTGTTTGGGGTATGTCGCTACCTCTAGCTACAAGAATTCTGCACCATGACCAATAACATGATGCCTTTTTCTGGATCCTCGCTTTCTGTAGTTGTTGAGATAATGTCCATAAGAGAGCGATCAGCTGCCAGGGAGCGAAATTTCATATTGCATTGCTGTTTGTCAAATGGAAAAAACTTCACATTGAGTTGACACGAGCTTTTAAAGGTCGATGGAGAAATCCACGTATTCAGGCCATTACTTCGCACCAGTACATAGGTGTGGAATTTCTCCACGTGACCTGCTTGAAGAATCTTATTATCAGCACTGTAAAAAAAAACAAGGGACGCTTAAATTAAACAAGATAACCTCGGCAACGCAATAAAGTAAATTACCTGACTATAGATATCCCTGAGACATTAGACAATACCTTACACTGAGGGAACAAATAATTTTACTGAACTAGTCGTCGTAAATCAGTGGAACTCTTTTCAAGGTCTTTTAGTGTCCCTAAGTGGGTAGTTGTAAAATGGGAGGTCGAAAAGAGGCTTGCCAAAAGCCACCTGGCGAAGAACAGTGATGATAGAGCTAGAAGAGTTGGGTCTAACATGGAATGAAGAGTAGGCCAAAGCTCAAGACAGGGTAGATTGATGACGTTTGATTGCGGCCTTACGTCCCATCCTACACTACTGTATATATTAAGCCAAACTTGCACAAATCAGTGTAACAAATAAAACCCAACTAATTTTATACTGATTTACCTGGGTTATCTCAGTGTCTGTTGTAATAATTTGGTCTTTGTTGTCCTGGAAAAACAAACCAAAGTTGCTATTTTCGTATGTACATGTATAGATCGAATATCTGAGGATTCCACTTCAGAATCAGTAGTTTCAGGCTTTCAGACTGCGGATAAGAGTTCGGTGGAGAAATAAAGAAAGCGAAAATCGCGGCTGGAACCGTCCATCTGGCTAAACTATCCGCTTATGTAAGTCCTTAGTTAGTTAGCATATATACGTGCAATACCTTAAGAACGCTATTTTGAACCACCATATTTTTTAGTGTTTTGATGCTATGTGAAATCTGAATTTCCAGCGTTTGTCTGTTTCATCCGAAAACCTTTTACAATTTGTATTGTATTTCACTGCATTGTGATTTGCAACTGTGAGTGTTAACATGCTAGGCTTGAAAAATGCATCAAAGTTACGTTCAGAAATTACCACTCCGCTCAGTGCCTTGAAGTCCACTTGAAAGGTGACATTGATCACATCAGATGGTTTTAATACTGGGCGGACCATTTTGTCATACTGCCACAAAATGACCTGCCTCAAGCGGTATTCAGCTGACTGATACATGTTATATTTTAGAAGTTGTGCAATTGATGGTGGCTGGAGAGGGCCTCTCGAATGAAATTCAGTTGGCTGTGTCTGAGGTCCAGGTGTTGAAGTCTGAGCTAACACATCTTAAAACAAGAATAATACTTTTATAAGGAGAACTTCAGGAGCAAGACGTGCCAAGTAAAACCTAAACTATCAAAGCTTGTTGCTTTTCTATGAAAGTGCAGTCAAAGCCCGCTTTGACCCTCTTAATACGGACAGTTTGCTTTGTCCCTGCTCCAAACTTATCCACTTAATAAACCTTTAAAAGTGGGTAGGGGAAAAACCGCATTTTCACGAATGCCTCTTTTCTGGAATGGTTTTCTATTAATTAGCATGGGAATGGCCAAAACTGGGAGTTTTGAAACAATTAGGGCTTTTTCTTTTCTATTTTCAGTTTTGTTGCCCACTTTATCGTCTTTCTTTCACATGGAATTGTGGCTGGCTAGCTTTTTAGGAAAGGGACAAATTTAATCCGGCTACAAAGAGTAGTCTGAGGTAAATGGCGCAATTGGCACTGGATTTTCCCCGAAATGTTATTTGGTTTTTTATTTGTAACTCTGTCAGGGTTGGTTAAAAATTGCAAAGGCGAGGTATAGGTAGAATTGATCTATCTTTGCTAACGTTGCTGTTTAACAACTTAACAGTTTAAACTCAACTGCATCGTTCCATATGAGAGGAAATTAAAACGACCCTAGCCGTCCGAAAAGGGTTAATACGGACACTTTATTCTATGCCCCCCTCAATATCCGTAATAACGGGGTTTGACGGTATTTTGTATTCAATTAGACTGCGTAGCAGGCGCTTTTAAGTAGTGGGCGCAGGAAAGAACGAGCATGAGAGTCCCTCTCGCGCGCCCGTTCTTTCTTGGGCCCACTACTTTAAAGCGCCTAGCTGCGCAGGCTATCTAATCAGCACGGTTGGTCAGAGCTGTCCCCGGTGAATTTCTTGCGTGGGCATGATTATCATTTCCCTTTTGTCGCTAATGGATCATCAGGTGATTTCATTGGGAGGGAATTCGGAAATCATCTTGTTTGACAAACAACGCATCTCTTCATGAATATCAAGCAAAATAACTTAAAATATTGTTTCTCTATGTCACGGGAGTAATTCGGATGGAGAGGAAAACTTTGTTAAGATCGTATGATTCATCAATATCAACAGTTAAAGTAGAAGTGTGCTTCATCATCGAAACCATGCATGAGATTGAACAAAGTCAGTATTAAAACTGCGTGGAAAATGTGTTCAGTATATGAAAGTTACCTTAGTTACATCTCTAATACAGATAGGAAAGCATATGACTGCCGGAAACCTTATTAACATGTATATGCACCTAACTAGTTAAATGTTTAAAAGTTTTTGTTTTTTATTTGCATTTTCTAAGGTTTTTTTAGGAAATAGAGAACGGAATATTGTGTCCTTTAAGGCCTCGGGGGACACATATCTATGAATAAATTCATTCAGTTATGAATACAATTGCGGAGCTGCTTACTTTAAGTATCCAGTTTTTCGTGTTGAAATCCTTAGTTGTTCACATATCCGCAGGTGTTTTTCCTTGGGTCTGACTTGAAGGAATGCCGGCTACTGGAGTTATCTCTTGAATTAAATGACTACAATAATTTGCACCATTTATTACGAAAAGAGCCTCTAACGGTTTGAGACGTCCCTTGGGCATGTGTAGTTTCAAATAAATACATACAAGATATTATTTACAAGAAACGAATTGCCTTTGAATGTACTTATGTGAACGCAAAGTCCGATACTGATGACTCCATATCCGTGTTAAATGCTTATGACAATCAGAATTCCTCATATAATTTGTTATAATTATCCCCTAAACATCGTTATTAGTTATGATTTACAGTAACAGTTATTTTAAGAAAACAAATTTTTCAGAATAAAAAAAAGAACGTTTACAAAAACATGATTATTTAAGCGCGTAGAAGACGCAACTTGAAATTTGCCATGAAACTTCCTTTAGAAATATCGGCCCTCTGGTTTTAAAATTCAATATCATAGCAACAGAAAAACAAAGCCAGATGAACTAACCATCTTAAAAGGAAATGGTAGCAGGCGTGAAGCTGTAAACAGTATTTATAAGGTTTTTATTTTTAACAAAAGACCTATAACATCATTAATGTCTCTCAGTTGCTTCCAAATTCGTTTTACAGTGGAACTATAAGTAGCGCCCCAAAACGTCTGCTGTACCACCCTCAGGCTGTTTACTTGAATGCAAAATTTAAAATTCCTTCTTCCTCTACCTATACGGAGAAAACTTTGGCATTCAAATGCGTCAAATATTTGCCGAAAGAGAATGAGATAAGTATTCTCTCTTAAGGCTCAATGCTTCGAACTATTCAGGTAAATCAGTAATCGGGAGAAATGAAGGGAGATCATTAATTATTCAATGTCAGCGAAGCGGCAAATTTGATTGCGAGTTGGCGGAGAAAGGCTCACAATAAGAGAAGAAAGGCGAAAATTGGCCAGGTATAGCGCTGATAAAACTTGCTTTCCTGCTTTCCAAACTGAGCCAAATTCTTAAACCCTAAGCGCGGGGTTTTGAAGAAGATTGGTGTACCTGCTTTTTAAGACTAAAACGAGAAAAACGAAGAAGATTGAACAAGAGTAAGCATTATCCTTTCGAACTTGAAAATGCAGAAAAAACGGCCTTTTTTAGTATGGAGTTCATTTTCGAAAGAGATTTTCGGAAAATTTACATTGCTTCTAAAAAACCTACGCGCGGGAAATGAAAGATGGCCTTTTCTCGAACAGAATCAGTTTAACTTGAAATTGACAGAGTGATTTCTGTTATGAAACGACTCACATTCAGCCACATAGAAGTACCTCAAAATTCGTGACAAAGGGCCCGACTTCCGATATTTCTCGCACACGCTCAAAATGTTACAGTCTCTCTTGATATCTCTTTACTCTACTGATATTTAAGGAATTGCCTTGTATTGGTGCTGTGCGACTGTAACTTCCTTAGTGACTTACTTGAACGCTTGTTCGAGCAAAATTTTCAATTTTGCTGTTAGTTATTCCCTATTTTTATGCCATTGGCTCAAATCTAGACAAGGAAACGATTTTTTTCTCAAAAGGTTGAAAAGGAGAGAAAAAGCTGAAACGGGGGCAATGTCGTTCTGCTCAACTTTCCTTAATTAACGAAAATAGAAAATTAATTATCCCACTGTAAACGCAGTTTCTCTCATTTTCATGAACAAATTGCCCTGGAAAGTAAAACGACTTGTTGTACAGTTACTGAAGAGAAGGTGCCGAACATTGCAGAGATCTTATGATCCACAACTCGGGTTTTGCAAATTTGTAAAAGCTAGTTACAAAACTGTGCAGCCGCTCTGAAAGAAATCAGAAATTCTTTACAGATCCTTATTTTCTCGAGAGATTGTTTTTGGCTGGATTTATTCGTGCTGTGCGGCATAGAAAGCTTTGTCAAACAGTATTTTCAGTTGTTTTGTCCAAGTTCTCTCTCCTTGCTCTTTTTTCCTTGTTGACTAAATTGACAATAAAACGAACTTTTGAAATTTTGGTAGTGAATGCGACTCCAGTTTGAAAATCTCCCAATAAGCTAAGATATAAAGATCTTTGACAAACTTACCAGCCAAACGAAGTAATAAGAACATTAAGGTAAACAACTGCGCCATACCACTTTCTTAACGAGCAGGTGCCGTCATGCGTCACTTAACAGGCTGTCCCAGCTAAGGCACCTTGCAGTAAACTTAAATGCTTGTTATACGTGCGGTCACGTGACCACAACAGATTACGCATTTTCCCTTCCTGTAAAAACCCGCAACAAGTGGCTTATTGTAGATAATTGTCATCATTATTTGAAATAACGAAATTCCGACATTTTTAACCTTGACATATAAAAGCCGATTTCTCGCGGAATAAACTGCGGGTTGCAAAAAGATGCAAATTCATTGGACCGGTGACCATTCAGCTTCCTTTTTTTACTGTTAAATGAGAATTGAACACGGACCCAGAAATGAATGGTTGCTAATGTCACGGTCAGGTATAAGTTATAAACGAAATAACTGAAATGATGTTTTATTTGCGAGCCAAATCAATTCGTTTGCCGAGTCGAATCGTCAACTGAAACTTAACCCTCTGTTTTTATTAGACTTCTTGATTAATTTGCTTTTAAGAAAAGCGTGTGCTAATGAGCCAAAACTGTTATTTAACAAACACTTTTCCTCCTAACGGTTCTTTTATTTGTGCTGGTTGAAGCAAAGATCCGAAGCTGATAAAGGGGTTTCCAATGTTAATATGTCCGCAGGTGCTTATTGCGATAACGTGGGGACAAGGACACGCATGTATAAAACAGTTAATTGATGTAAATTTGTTCTAAATTTCTTTCCCTTAAATAACAAGTTTCTATACGTTTAAACTGCTTTGAAGCCCGAACAAGCATTGCCTTCGAAAAATCGCCGACAAGCCGCAATGAGTGCAATAGTTTCTTTTTTTAAAAAAAATCCGAGAACTTTTTGTATGATTACACTTAAAAGAAAATTAAGATACTGAGATAAAATTTAGGCATTTGTAAAGGGAAACAAAACTGACAGCAGTTCGCGTGGTTCTCGTAGTTTTTGTAATCTCACTCGTCCTCCGGACAATTGTTTCATGAGATTTTATACGTAAACAATTTTTTGCCCGAGGAGTTTTTCACATGTGATTGAAGTACTTCCGTTATATGCGTCGCATAAGGAAGATTACACTCTCCAGGAACCCACCTGACTCTCGTACCAAGACGAGAGCTAAGGGAATTTAATTTCGGTTTGGCGGCCTTGTCGTCTGGATAGTGCAGTTTCAACTCGAAGGGTTAAGGGGGGGTGGGGGGTTCCCAACAATTTTATACGGGGAAGCTCCCCCCCCCCCTAGTCCAATCCCTGTTATATACTATTTTTGACAGAAAAGGGAGCCCTTTCGTATACTTTTTATTGACAAATGGTACTCCATTTACATGTCACAAGACACTGTATAAAAAGGGGATATGGCGGAAATCGAATTAGGGCGGGAGTGAGGGGTTTCTTGTCCATCGTGTAGTGAAAGAAAGAGTGGCGCATGGTCAGCCT